CTGTATAAAGGACACGTGTCGGTAAACTCCCGATGATCGTTATTATTGTGTAACGCGTCAAATACGTCATCACTCGAAATGGGCATCACGCAGTCGTAAAATATTTTTCGTACCGTGTAATATACGTGTAAACTGAATAAAGCCGACACGTATGGATTGGGATCAGGCAGCAAATCAAAACCCACACCGCAGGCCGTCGTCGCGCAATAGACCGCAAAAAATAAATTGATTTTGATAAAACGAAATTGGCTCGGTCACCCAGCGGTTGACGGCTTCGTCCTTGGTGACCTTTGGTAATTTATACACGCGCGTTAAATTTGGAAATTCGGCGGTAACGATTTGTCTTTGTTGACTGCGACTGATAAATTACTAAAGTTGGCTCACATTTTTTATACGTCTTTTTTATTTTAAAGGAGGCGCCGTCGGCTGAAACGCTTGATAAGCAGGTGGCTCGATCGCTTTGCTCGCCGCTTCTGCTCCTTCGTTGACTTGACGTTCAAATTCTTCTTTGCTGTTCAACTTTGGTTTCTTGTAATTATGTAGACGTATTTGACTTGATCTTTTCTTTCATTTCTTTAAACTTTTTTATTTCGAACAAAATAAGTACAAATTCTTCCTGCGATATATCACCGTCTTTAATCGCGTGTGATACGTATTTCCCGATGGTGTTTAGCTTTTTGGTTTTGTGAGTTAATCGTTTAGTGGCGTACTTAAGCACTGCGTAGGCACCTAACGCACCGATAGCGATGCCTTCCATGACTAGTCCCCACAGGCCCGGTAACGACGCCTAAATTAGCGGGAATGCCAACGGCTGCCGAGGTAGCGCCCAACGCTTCCACGTCGTACTGCACGTAACCGAGTGCAGTTAGTACCCGTTTAATCTTTTTCTAGTTAGCTTCGTGCGCGTTCTCTTTAAATCTGGGATTTATTTTCTTCAATCTTTCTGAGTCTGTAAACTTTAGTCTCGGCTTGTTCGGCCGAGTTTAAAGTCAAATCTTGGTAAATGTTAGTCGTCATCTTTTATTATATACGCGTTTTATATTGTCGCCACTAATATATTAAGCTCGATAATTACTCCGTCGTTTTGGTTCTGTAACAGTTCCCCATTTGTTGATCTGAGGTAAAAAGTTAACTCGTCTATATTTCTCGAGTGCAATTTTCTGGGCGTTTCAAAATCGCTACGAAAATATTGATTTGTTGAAATCACTTGTAGCAGGTCAAGCGATGTAACAATTATAGTTAGTGTCCAATTGGGGACAATAAATAAACGTGAGCTGATCCTCTTCCAATGTATAACCTCTTTCAAATAAAATCTTCTAAACTAAGATTACCTTATCACCCTTTGAATTATCGATAACGTTTTTCAATTTAAACGTCTGAGGATTTTGACGCAAGTAAAAAGTGCGAGTCTCCATTTTATTATATACGTTTTGACAAATCTTGTTTGGCGACGTTTTAATTTTTCATAGGCGTTTTTCCAATAATTATCTGAAACTTTAAACAGATCTTTTACTCTTAAATCGTCCTCTCCGTTTGCCTCTTCATGACATAACGCGATTAAAGCCCTCAACGGTCTACCTCTAGACATCTTACCATGCGAGCAGATCGGTCATAGGATAATTCAATGTTAAGTTCTTTCCAAGTCTTCTTTGGTTTCCACGGCGGTTCTTTTTTCCAAACGTGATGATGAAGAAATCTATCTCCCATCTATTCAGGGGTATATGAACAAACCCAACCAAAGATTAGTCCACATTTTTTACGGACATGTCTTTCGTCCATTTCAAATATTTGGTGCTCGCAGGGTTTTTTTGGTCGTGGTGGTGGTGTTGGTGGCCATTCGTGTTTGTTACCGAGCAGGTAACAGATCTCTGCGTGTGTCATGTTTGTTTGTTTTTACTTAAAGTCTATTTGTTTAAACTAGTCGTTTCACGGTTAGGTTAAAAAAAAACCCAGTTACCCCAAAAAAGAGTAACCGATTTAAGTGTCTTTTGTTGTTGTTTATCAAGTTAGTCTTCTGGCGTATAACCAGGGAAGGTTTCTATTAAATCCACCCCGTCACTAATAAACTCAACCTCAAAGTCGTTTTCTATCCGAGGTTCTTCTTCTGGTTCTGATTTTGGGCCGTAACCTTCTTCTGGTTCTAGTAAATCCAGTAGATCTTGTTCTTCTGACTCCGACTCTGGTTTTGACTCTGGTTCTAATAAATCCAATATACCTTGGTTTGCTTGTCCTACTAAACGGTAAGTTGGTTCTTCTTCTGACTCTGATTCTTCTTTTTCTAACATTAAACCCACTCTATAATAATCTCTTTCCTAAATTTGTTTTTGGCATATAGTTTTGGTCTGTAACAAGTTTTAACCTTTCATATCTGTCATCAAGTGTTCGTAACAAAAATTCTTGGTTTTGCACATCAACACAGTTCACACAATACTTATAATCTTGGCATTTAAAACACTCAATACAACGAGTACAATCACCGCAGTTCTGACAACTCTCGCAGTAAAAACAATCACTACAGTCTTGGCAGTCCTCACAATAACAGAGATTTGTACTGTTAGAGCAATAACTACTGTGGTGGGGTGGGGTGCGCGCGGAAGTAGGGGTCTCCTTGGGTTAAGAAGGGACGGGGAAGGGTTAAATCGGCACACAGGTCCTTTGGACTCGAAGGATGTAGGTAGACCAAAGCAGGATTGTCAGCTTGCCTCGTGTATAACGATTTGTTTCGTCTGCTACACCTTTCAGCCAGCACCTGTGGATGTCAGGGGCTGGCGACTCATTACTTTCCCAAATGAATTGAAACATGAATTATCAGCACCAAAATCGATCTATAATTATGACAAAGTTACCTGTGGATGTCAGGGCAGGCGACTGCCGGAGCCCGCGCACGTAGTAACTTAGCAACAATAAGTATGATGTAATGGTTAAAAAAGCCTATTTTTCCTGTACCTAATTCCTATAAGATTGATAATTTTCCTATATATTATTCCTATAAGTTTGATAAATGACAATAAACCCATCCTGGTTAGATATTTGTGTGTAAAAGTGTGGAAAATAAAGATTGTTTTTCTAAAAATGAGTCAGTATCACATTATTGATTTATTATAGATTTTTACAATTTAATTCAGCCCATTGACTTTATACCCGTACATGAGGGACTATTTTAGAACCGTAGTTTTTGTTGATCATCATCAAATTTGTAGCAAGTACTAACTATAACAAAGACAATTCTGAATTATTCACGTCATGATGACGTCATCACGTGATTTATCATTAAATTTTGAATATTAAATATTCTGTTAAATTTATGAAACTTCCTATATAATCAGCCCTGGCTTCCTGAAACATACCTTTTGCAGCAAGTGCCAGGATAAAATGTTGTCTTCAATTCATCTCGTGTGGGTCAAATCACATGACCCTTCCTTCCAGCGAGACCGGAAGTGGCCTTATTGTGTTAAAACTGGTAATAGGTATCGAGTTGTTTTCAACGGTGTTTGTCTGCTGGGGTATAGTACTCTACAAATTATCTGATGACGTCACCTAAATTTCGAGCGCCCTCTAGGAACAGGGTAAAAATTCCGAAAAATGAATTTTGAATGGACGGTGTGGACGCCCAATATCTGCCTGCAACGTAGGCACAGAGCGTAGGGCTTGATACTCAGGACTTGGCAAAATGCCGACCACGTGCTACCAAGGCAGATCGAATTGTATGGAACGCCCAAAGTGACAAATGTTTAAGATATGTAATCTGTCCTTTTTTCTGCGATAAGTATACTGTTTTGTATTGTATATGTCTTATTGTATTGGGTTTACACCTTGCAGGCAGTTAGGAAAGTTTACAAACAGAAATTGACCTCAGGTGATGACAATACCATCAGCAGACGAGTCACGTGACATTAAATGGTGTCTCATTTAAAGTACTATATTTCCTGAAGTGTATATCCAAATTGGTTCAAATCTTGCAGATATCTTGAAAAGGGAGTGCTTTAGAGGAATTTTGACCTCGTGAGCATAACTTCATCAGGAGACAAGTCACGTGACATTGAATGGTGCACTCTTTAAGACCCCATATCTCCTGAAGTACATGTCTGTTGTTTCCACAAGTTGCATAGAGTCCTCATGAGGGGGGAATAAAAAGGATGAACACGGAGGTTGTGGCACAAAGCTTGTTGTGGTCGAAGGACGAAGGAGGTTGTGGTCATCAGCAGACAAGTCACGTGACAAAAGAGTGCACTCTTTAAACCTTTTATCTCCTGAAGTACATGTCAGATCGGGTTCAAATCTTGCAGATGTCTTGAAAAAGGAGTGCTTTAAAGGTACATTGACCTTATGTGATAATGACGTCATCAGCAGACAAGTAATTAAGTGTGCACTGTTTAAAGCCCAGAAGTAGATATCCTATTTGGTTCAAATCTTGCAGATATCGTGAAAAGGGAGTGGTTTAAAGCAATGTTGACCTTACATGATGATGTCATCAGAAGGCAAGTCACGTGACATGACGTCATTCAGTGATTTATTGTTGATTTTGTAACATTTAGTTTGGCCGTTTGACTTTGTACACGTTTTTGAGGCTCAATTTTGGTAACTTAGCGATGTTTGATTGTCATTAAAGTTACACCAAGGACAAACCTTAAAGAAATCAATGACAAAATTACGTCATGATGACATCATCTCATTTATTATTAAATTTTCAATATTTCAGTATTACATGAATGTTGTAAAAATCATTGTAAAATCAATCGTGGTTTCCTGTAACATTCTGTTTGCGGCAAGTGCGAAGGTAAAATTGGGTCTTCATTTATCTTGTGTGGGTCAAATCACGTGACCCTTCCGGTCAAAATTGAAGTGGGTTCATTGTTTGAAAGTGGTAATAGGTATCAACTTGCTTTCAACGGTGTTACTGGGGGTATAGTATTCTTAAAATCATCTGCGGATGACGTCACGTAATTGTCGAGCGCCCTCTAGCGACAGGTTAAAAATCCTGAAAAATGAACTTTGAGTAGATGTCTGTTGTGACGTTTGTCCTGAAAATTGATGTAGACAATGATCGTAACCCAGTTAACACGTGTGAAATTTGGGGCCGATGACGTCATCAGATTGGAAGTAATGATAAAAAGTTCTTTTAGTCTTCAACATTTTCGTAAACGATCAACCGTAACAGGTTTAAGCCTGAATTGTTCATTAGATGATTGCTAAAACATTGAAGTCAACTGCATGAAGTACTACTTTTATCTGAATTGAACAGCCTGCTTCTTGTTAAATCGTGGAACTCTGCCTACCTGCGCAGGGGAAGGCAATCGTCAACCAGTTAATGGAACTCCTTGTTCGTAAAAATGAACAGCAATTTTGCTATTTTGTTCATAACTGGCTCCACTGTGAAATGTCTTACTGTAGATGACCGCACAATTTTAACAAGTATGACAGAGCCCCTTTGGACAAATTTACGAAGAAACCAAAACATGAGAAAATGAAAAAAATGAAACAGGTGACTTTCAGTCTAGATTTATCCCAGATTTGCTAGATTTATCCCTCCGAGCACCTGATCCGGAAAAAAAATCCCGTGGAATATACTACCCGGCTTCTGTCTGGCTTGTAAAACATCCCCCTGCGCTCCGTCGGTCAATTCCTGAAAACCACCATCTGAATATTTGGAGAAAGAAAAGGCCGGTATTAAGTGATCACAGGGGGAGTTGGCTCTGGCGGCTTTGCTCTTGATGTTTGTTTGACATATCCATGAATTCCGGGGTTTCAATAACGTTTGACTGTGCAAGCCAGAACGCCTGTGTTCTGACTTAAACGCAGCCGGGGGACACTAGACTTAAAGCTGATTTCAGGATCTTCATTAAATTCATCCTTTTTTGTTTATCCTGTTATTTAACAAACCCTTAAATGTCACACTTTTGTTCTCCAACATGTAGCTCGTGGCAAACGTCACGTGGGTAGTCACGATTTTTCGTTTACAAATGAAACAAATTCTCGAGAATAAATCGTAGTCCAATTTGGTACTTGGCGACTCCTCACTTGTTTCAGCAGAAACAAGGTGGCACTGCGACAAAGAAGAAACAACAGGAACAGGCTCATATACGGTTTCGGGGACAGGGCCAACACACGAATGGCGAAGAAGCAGAGGGCGACAACTTAAAAAAACTGGGTGTGAAATTTGCAAAGAAACTTCTCACGACAACGTAGAAGAAATTGCAGGTGACAAGGATGAAGAAACCGCGCGCGACAATAGCAAAGAAAATCAATGCTACATTGACGAAGAATCCTTGGGCAACGACGACGAAGGAACCGCGGGCGACATTGAACTAAAAAATCCATATGATTCTGATGATACTGATCAAGATGGTTTAACAGACGTTTGTCAGTTTGTGACAGACAGCAACGATAAGGAAGACGATACAGACAAGATTGGCGGTGACATGACAGACAGCACTGATCAAGATTACACAAGCGATTTGGCCTTAGATCGGTACTATGCAGATGAAACAAACACGACTGACGAGGACGATGAAGACGGTTCTGAGGGAGATGACGCAACTGACATTTTGGGGGTTGATAATGGCAACAAGATCCACAATGATGTAACGGGCACACGTACAGAACAAATTCCAATAGCACAAACAAAGAGAACACCCAAAACCACAGTGGAGAAGACAATGAAGTTGAAGCGCTGAAGAAAAAAATCCCTCTGATGTTTGAAGATGACAAAGTAGTTAGCTTCCTCAAAGAACTTGAAACGGAACAGAGGGATATGATGAAAGGAATAATGGCAAAATGCATTGAAAACCAATTCAATCATCATTGAAAAAATGCTCATTCAAATTAATCCTGCGATTAAACTCAGCACAGTACCAACTCTAGATCTCGATTCAGTTTAATCTCCAAGCACTGATGCGAGTGATGATGAATTTCCGATTGAAGAGTTGGTACGCATGCAACGAACAAGCTCGTCGAGTGTGAACTTCGCTGTCCGGCTAGCACGAAGAATGAAAATAATCTTGTATCGAATAGGTGCAGAAAACCAAAGAGTAGCAAAGTGGGTCAGTTAGACCAGGCCCACTTTTTTCACGTTATTCAGGTTCCACAATGTCTGCAAGAGATGGAATTGCGTAACTGTAAAAGAGCAATTGACACTAATGGACGCAAAATCTTCAGAAAGCGCAGGCGACTGAACAATGAATTTTAAACTTAAACACAAATCGCATGACTATGGTCAAGATCTTGAGTTTTTATTGTAGTTTGTCGTTAAGCGAATATATTGTGGTCTTTGTACGGTTAGTACTTGAAAATCATTCTTGAGCAAAGCCTTTTTCATTCCACCAGTAGAGTCAAATTCTTTACAAAGAAATGACGGTTTAATGTTCAATTTTTGTGTAACTTGGTGACATTCACTTTCATTTTATTGTAATTGATAAATTTGCATGTACATGCAGCTGATTTACAGCCAACCAGTTCTGAATGATCAGCAACCTTTAAAAACAACGCAAAAACAAGCCTCAAGTGATTTTCTGACGAGGATATTTTTGAACTCCGTATTATGGACCATTTATCTCTACTCAAAATTTGCGCAAACACTACCACAACTCTGACAATCATCTTGGCAGATAACACGTTCACATTTCTTCAGAAGAAGTTCGTCTCTAAACCCATATTTGTATGCTTATGGCTTGTTGTAGCTTGTTACGCCAGAAAACACTGTTATACAGTTGATTATCACTGACAAAATTGTAATACATGTATTTGTTTGAATGGAATGGTTATGAATTGTTGTAATCGTAACTGTATGTTGAAACAAAAGCAACTTGAATGTGAAAAATAGCGTGTTTGATATTTTAATTTAAACAGCGTGTTTGATGTGGTAATTTAAGACCTATCCCCTTACTCAAGAATCCTCTTTGTAAACAAGTCGTTTTCTAATGGTGTCCGAAGAGGTCAGCATTGTTTAGCCTGTAATAGGCCTGTAAAATATATGTACTACATGTGTCGGATTGACGCTGTGTAACTCCTCGCGTGGGCATGTACGTTTTATTACGCATTCCTCCCAAAGTGACCACTCCTTACGTTTCCCTTGCGTGGGTATTTAAAGGGGAATACAGAAATTGAAAACATTCAATTCACGCGAAGTATTTCAACTGCATCACACTGTATCGCGTGAACTAAATGCTTTGAATTTCTGTAACCCTTTAAACATAGGCTTATTTGAACTAAATTTATATCCAACGATCCTCTCCAGGTCTAGGAAATCACAAAAAAACAAACCACTGGCATTTCTACCCAGCGAAGCCGGCCCCAAACGATGGTGCGATCCAATGGGAAAGATGCCCGTCATTGTTTCTTCATTAACGATATCTGGTATCCCATCCTCTTTACACTTTCCAATATTTAGGTATTCAGGTAACAATTTCTTTTCATTCAAATTTCTGTTGCTGACCATTGCAAAAAAATCCATATTCTGTCTTCTTGAAGAAGTGCATTGATTCCAAAGAAAAAATATTAAATTTTCGATCTGACCTTCAATGATCCCTGTTTTTTTCTTAAGGGACGCCTGGACTCAAAATAATTAACAATACATCAGAAATGACAGCGCTAAGGAATGTTAATATCATAATGTACACCACTTTCGTTAAGTTTCCAGAAAAAACAACGTGCTATGTTCACAATGTGGGTTTTCTGGGATGACTCTCGACGGAGCCATTGTCTCCCTAGTCTCATACGCAATACGGATTTATTGATCGATTAATCTTGCCTTATGATACGTGTACAATCCAAAGTTGAAACGCAAGCTTTTCGAATCACGATTAATTTAAATATTACATTTTTAGGGCGGCAACTCGTTGTTGATCGAATGAACGTTGTAGCCGTGCAGGTTTGGGAATGTGTATTGTCGGAAAAAAATCCAAAGAGTTGGTTTTTCCTCCCAATAATGGACACCTGGCCGATATCCAGCCGCTTGAAGAAGAAAAACGTTCGTCCAATCCCAGGACTGCACAGCAATAACACGGTTCCCTGGTTCAGTACCTTCCCAGTGAATACAAGATGCCTCAAATTCCCGTTGATCTGTCTTCTCAGATGGGGTGCTTAATCCCAACGCTTTAAATAGCGCCCAATCAGTCGCAAATGCGACCAATTTTTTGCGAACGCGATCATATTTTCACCATACAGTCGCCATTCACGACTTAGGTTAGCTTAAAATCTACACACAAAATGTACTTGAACAATTTTGATTAGGCCTTATGCTTAAAAATAAAAAAAAAATGATATGTACTCAAAATTCGTTCCGGAAAGGTAGAAATGGCAGTGCAAGTCGCATCGTAAATTTGAAGCTTACGCGTGTGCGCTGTACATTACACATGTCGCGATAACACGCACGTGTTGATTGGTCCCGATCAAAACACACATTTTTAATGTACTGTATACGGACACCAGGGCCGTTTTATAAACCACGGCTTGGGCTTCATTTTTTGCTGCAACTTAAGTGAAGCCTGATTTCGTGAATTGACCTCAGCGGTGCTCATGCACATGCTCGTTTCGTGGCTGTGTGTGCCGGGCGGAAAAGCATGGACTATGTAACACAGGGTATTTATACTACACGGTGTGTGTGTTTATGAATATTCAGCGCACGTGATTACCAAACCTTCGTAAAAGTGCAGCATGGCGCCTAGATTTTTCTCCAATAAGGAGTCCTTGGCTACCAAACAGTTTTGTTCTCAGCCTGTTTTACAATGTGCCTAGGTAGAACTGCGGCGATTTCACCGGTGTTCGTTGCACTGTTACAAGTATACATTTACGGGGATTATGACCCCGGCGGCACTATCCGATTTTTGTTACTTAGACACGGTCACACAAACCAATCAGACTCTGTAATTCCAATCGTATTCACGTAAAACTGGTGGAGACTCATTTCATCGAATGCGGCCAAAAAGTAATATATAATAATAATATAACACCGTTTGGACAACTATTGCACGTGCCTTCTCCAGACTCTGCCGTAAAAATGCCAGACCTGAATAATACCAAACTTTTTTTGAGGTCGTCACATTTCTCGTTGTGTTGCAAAACACGTTTGCATTTTTATTGAAAGGTATTTCACAACTGTTGGTACACAGCCAGCGTGGAGCCACGGGTGGAAATGTGGCTAGAACTTTTTTGTGCGGACTATTTCTTTCCAACGCGTGAAAAGTATTAACACCTCGATCGCGTGTGCTTTTTAACATGCCTGCCTGTACACTTCAGACCCAGACATTATACGACTTTCAAAACATCGTTACATTCAAAAATAATCACAAAGTAATTGTCAAAATGTCTGCAAGCGCCTGTTCAAGTACCTCAGCAGCACCCAGCATACAGCAATTCAGGTTATACTGTAATAAAAACCCCATTAAACAACTAAATGCAGATATATACTCCCTTCCCTTTGCAACAGTCTTTTGTGTTTGCATATATTCATTACCTCATTTTCAGAGAATGCCAGTGTCTACCTGCTACTTTGCACATGATAAACCCTCTCTCTTTGCAAACACATCAACCCTTCTATTCTGAAATTATTCTTGATATCTTTTGGTAATCAGGACAATCCTCACAAGCATTTTTGCCATTGCAGATACTCTCCCTCAGAGATTATCATCCATAATGTATACTGTTTATATTGTCTAGTGCACAAGTCTGCAATATATCAACTGCAATGAGCTTGACAACAGCGCAAAAAAGCCTAAACAGTCATTTACTACTCCTACTTTCGTACTTTCACAAATATCCATCCATTATCACACTGCGGATTTTCAGATATATACCGATTCTTTCTAATCTTTTTAACATTACAGATTATCTCCTCACAACAGGCCAAAACCATCACTGTCGAAGGATTTTGTCAGGTAGAAGAGTAAGATACACTTAAGTCCCTTTCAAATTCATATTGTTAAATATGCATGAAATTCTCAAATGGTTACACACTATTTCCACACCAATTCAGAAACCATGCCTTTTTGAAAAATGCAATACATTTTTCAGTTCAACTTCCTTTGATTCCAAAATGACCAAACCCTCAATCTGTTGCCACATTTACCATCTTTTAAACAAAAAGGAGGGCTTTTTATACTTGTTACGAACCAACTACTGCATTAGTCCAAACTATATTTGTGTAACGGGGCCAAGTTACTTTAAGAAACTGTCTACACAGGAACTTATGATTGGAAAGATCTCACCGGATTAGGCTTTATTCTTCTTGACACCATGGACACATAATAAACACACAAGCAATCGACTTAACGCCATGTTGCAGGATGCGCCGTCCTCCCTGCATTCCTTACGATACAAAGTCAAGAGTCACCCATCTCATATGTAAATGAGGTAAACGTAATATGCAAAGTAGTTCACAACACTTGCCCTTCAAGTTCGAGTCACTCAAATTGAGGGATGGGCATTAACCTGGATGAAAACATTGGCAGCAATAAAAGGCCTGATGAAATCAATACACACATGTATCGGCAAACAAATTAAAACACATTTCATACCTTAAAAACTAAAAAATGGTCTTACAAGGATGATAAAATTTGAGATATCGGGATATCCGTGGGTGACCAACAGCATAAAAAGTAAACCAGTGAACATGCATGAGGTGGTTTGAGGGACTGAAATGGCAACCACATGTAAGGGTAAAAGCGAGTAAAAATATATT